GTCGCCGCCACCACTACCGTCATACCACCGCCGCCGCCACCACCACCATACCACCGCCACCACTACCACACCACCGCCGCCACCGCCACCACCACCATACCACCGCCACCACCACCACACCACCGCCGCCACCGCCACCACCACCACCATACCACCGCAACCACCACCACCACTACCACCACCATACCACCGCAACCACCGTCGCCGCCACCACTACCACCATACCACTGCCGCCGCCGCCACCACCATACCACCGTCGCCGCCACCACCACCACCACCACACCATCGTCATACTACCACCACCACCAATTATTATTATTATTATTATTATTATTATTATTATTATTATTATTATTATTATTATTATTATTATTATTATTATTATTATATAACGAATAACACCACTACCACTACACCACCACCACCACCATAATATTTTTGATATATTATTAGTTTTTTTTTTTTTGTTGAAAAACTTAGCTATTTTTTATTATATTTAAAATTAATATTATATTATTATATATTATTATACATGTTGTAATATTCTAAATAAAATAATTAAAATGTTTAATTATACAATTCTACTCATTTTCCAGAAAATGAACCAAACACACAAAAACAGTTTTCCAGAATGCAACCAAACACCGGAAAGGAAAATGTTTTCCGGAAAATGACTCATTTTTCAGAAAACATTTTCCAGAAGTCATTTTCCTGGTTTCCAAACGGACCCTAAATGAAGCCCAATTCAAACCCACTTACCCACCTAGCAGTTATACCATGGACCCGAGTCCACCTTACAAGGTGGATCTAGGAACAAAATACACAATTCACCTACTGAATGTTTCTAATTTGAATTGTGAATTTTTTTTTTTAAATACTAATGACTCTGTTACATTGTAGTATCTGTCATAACTCATAACCCATGACCTTGTGAAATTTCAATAGGTAAATTGTGTATTTTTTAACCTGGCTTCACCTTGCAAGATGGATCCGCGTCCACAAAATAATTTGCCCCTAAGTTAACGTCAAATTATACTGTGGACCGCGGTCCATAATGCATTGTGGTCCAGGCATCAAAACGGTGTCGTTTCTTTTAATGAAAAGAAACAACACCCGTTCCGCGTCGTTTCGCAAAAAGTAACTCTGTTTGTATAACATATTCAGTTTCATTTTATATACACTGTAATTTCATTTCAACACAACTATAGTTTTATTACACACAAATATGTAAAACTGTTATTCAATTTCATTTTATATACATTACAGTTTCATTACAATACAACTACAGTATCATTTTGATATAACTACAGTTTCACTGGACCCAATATATACCCAAATATGTGAAATTATTATTCAATTTCATTTTGTATACACTGCAGTTTCATTTCAACATAACTACAGTTTCGTTTCATTTCAATTCAATTACAGTTTCATTTGATAATATAAAAACAATATGTGAAGCAGCTTCAGTTTAGATACATTATAGTTTCATTTTGCAATTAGCATACCAAAAATATGCGTTCCATTAAGTTGAAACGGCGTTGTGTTTTGGACCATGGTCCACAATATAACTGTAAGTTAACTATATCAACAAAACCCATTAAATTCTATGTTAGCAACAGCAATTTCTATCATTAGCCCAATTAAAAATATATAGGCCCTGTTTGGTAAAATGGCTGTTAGCTGTTAGCTGTTAGTTGTTAGCTGATTGTGTTAATCAGAGGGTATAAATAGTTGATAACATTAGCTGATTGTAAAAAAGTGTTTGGTAAATTAGCTGTTAGCTGATAGCTGTTTGGTATAATTTTTTTTCTCAAAAAGCTAATTGAAAAAGTTGCTTGGAGTAGCCTTTTAAATTTTAGCCTTTTGAAGTTACAAAAAGTTAATTAACCAAACATTTGTATTGATATTTTAACTAAATCAAATAATTAATAGTTATCAAATAAGTCAAAATTGGCCTATAGGCCAATTTTTTACCAAAGAGGGCCATAAACTATACGTAGCCCATTTTCAAAGTTGCCAAAAGTTCAAAAGAAAAAAAAAAAAGTTGTTCGAGTTTCAAGGTTTATCTTATATAGTTGAGCAATAAATGCCTTGGGAGGGGAGGGGATTTGAAACCTTCGATTCTATCCATTGGCGTTCTTGGTAGGTTAGCAACCATGTCTAAAAGTTGACGTCCCTCAAAATCCGCTGCAAAAATTTGTTGTGTGCAAGTCTCTATTTTTGCAAAAAAAAAGAAAAAAAAAAAAAAAGCCATTGAACTATTTAATTTGGGAGATAAAAGCCAGCAACTCGAATAAGCTCTAAATTTATCTATGAATCCAGAAAAAGGAGCAATGAGCACTTTTTTAGCAGTTAACACAACATATTTGTCCCGATTAGGATATCATGTGTATTTATATTTTATTCTTATTATCTTACTTGGACAAATGTAAGCATTTGATAATTTGAAGTCAAAATTTAAAACTCTAATTTCCCCTCTCCTCTATTCTCTTCTCTGATTCTTAATTCGCGGTTGAAAAAAAAGTGTTTTATTTTTTGACCTTTTGCCATGTTGACAGGATTTTGTGAATCTTTCTTAATAACTGAACCAATGGTTCCTTTTATCAGTAGATCCGAGGTTGTTAATGGGAAATATTTTCCAATATTCTTGTACTTCAACTCTTTTGAAAATTTGGGAAAATATTTCTCCAATATGTCTTTGTATGTTTTAACCAAGCTCCACTATTTTTATATTTGGCTAGTTTTCCCCAATATTGGCCGGGTTTACTAATATTGAATTTGTACTGCTTTAGTAGGCTCTCTATTGAAGATGGGATTTTCTGATAATCAGATTTGCCATTCTAGTGCTCTGATCTACCATTTTACTTCTTATAAGCTCTGATCTTCTGCTACATATGTATATCTTAATTATTTTAAGGTCTTTTATTGTAAGGTATTCATAAATGAGTTATTTTGTTTGACCTTACTAAGTACTATTTTAGCATTTACAAATTTTCTAAGAATTGAAAATAACACATAGTTTTGGGTTTCTAAATTGCTTATACAATTTACTTAGATATCTTCTTAATTGTGTTACTTTTGGAATGGTAGAACTTGAGGGAGAAAATTAGACATTTTGTCCCACACTTACTCGGGACTTTAAGTAATGTATTGGAGATTTTTCTTGAGCAGTGTGAATACCATAAACTGTATATGTTATATCCCATCAATATAGACATTATATATGCACTTTCTCAACTTATTAAAGCACAAAGAGCCAATGCCCCCACACTGGGATTCAAACTTGAGACCTCTTATTTGAGAGGCTACAACTATGCCGCTCGATCACAAGACCTTTGACAACCACTAGTTATTTAGTTTGACCAAAATTCAATAAGTTTAATTAACTTGCACAACATAATTAATGTCTTAATATATAAAATATAGGAAAATCTTACATTCTCTACTTGATGAAAGTACTAGCACAACAGTCATTAAAGAACAAAACACATTAGTCATAGGGATATGTCATCTACTCGAAAGAGTAACATCTTCCATTTATCATGTGCATTTTGCAAATTCCTTGACTTAGACTCTTTATGAACGAACCCAACATTCATTCTTGGTATCTTAAAGAATGTTTCTCAAAATAAAGTATGCCCACAACTAAATGGAGAAACCATCCAAATTGCACAAAAAGTACATTATGTATAATCCCTAAAGTCCTTATTAAAAACATGTCTTTAAATAGAGATCTCTTAGGGTGTGTTTGGTTCGCACATAGGAATCGGAATCGGAATGGGTATCAAATTCTTGGTAATGGTAATGGGTTTTGGTGGAAGTATTTAACATGTTTGGTAGTAGGGTGGAATGAGAATGGTTACTAATAGTAGTGCTTGTGAATGAATAAGGGAATGAAACCCTTATTTTATTTGGGTATGAGTTTTTCAATTGATGAGGTATTCGAAACCTATAGTACTGTTCTAAAAACCTATCAACCAAACAACAATAATTACTTTCATACCCATTCCCATGGACAAAACCCACCAACCAAACACATCCTTAACATTAGCATAACGCTAACTACATTATTAGTTCATAAACATAAACAATAGCTCTAATGCCTAAATGTTCAAAGATGACACGTCTGTCACTCTAACTCATTAACATAGCCAAAAGATAGTCAAACAGATAAACATTCCAACATCTTAGAAAATGAAGAATCTAAGCATAATAAATTGAACTTTTAAACATATACAAAACTTCCCCAAATAACTTCAAGATTCACCCAAATGAGCCGGGCAATATCATGAGCCTTACTTTTATATATGTATCATCAAATTGCCTTGAGTCTTTCAAGACAAAATGACCCATGATCAATTTTGCTGAAATTAAAGAATCTATTAATTGCTAAAGAATTAAGTTCATGATAGTACACCACAAGTTCAATAATACTTTTGTTCTAATAAACTTCTATATGTTATTGTTACATATTTTTTTTATATAAATATGTTGCACAATCAAATGTCCAATAATTTGAACCAATGAACAATACGTACAATGCTAAGACTTGTAAAATACTTATTGTTCGACATACAATCTAACTCGAGATGTATGAAAGCAATTACAATTCATATCTCTAAAGTAGAGCATCTTAATTAGGTGAAGAATCTTAATGACCTTCCGAATCGATCACTTCCACTGATTAAGTCATTTTATAACAAACTTAATGAATTGAGAATAGACATGACATTCAATTAGTATCTCGATCACCACTATGAAAATAATTCAGATTCAGTTTGAATCGTACACATAGAATTTTGTTTTTACACTTTTAAATATGGTAGAACAAGCAAAATTTCTTCTCTTTTTAGACAATTTACACAATTGGATCCCTACTAATTAAGTGGTATAAATTTATGCATGGATGGTTTTTCACTTAACCTTGTTGGAGTGAAAAACACAATGGAAAGAATATAAGCACACCTCAGTCATCCAAAACTAATTTAACCCAAAAATAATAAATATGAAGTTTATACTCTTTTCTTTTTTTATGCATGGATGCATGGATGCATGTTTTATATATGTTTATGGACATTTTGGGGTTCTTCCAGGTCCTCCATAGTAAAAATAATTGCCCCAAACTCGATTGGAACCAGCTTGTATGTCATAGCAATTAGGATGGTCTGCCAAAACCTTAAGGTTTGACAATGGTATTAAGCTGTTATCCCAATCAACAATCTGCAGGTTTCTGAAATATGAAGCTTTCCCAAAGCCTTCTCCTGCAAAATGGCCACTCCCCATTTGTGTTGAAGTGTGAGAGCCAGAGGGCATGCTGTTCACCACCTCCCCTCCAAATTGCATCATGCTTGCTGATGTTCTAAGATGGGTGAACAAGAAAGATGGCCAGTACCCAACTAAAACTCCTGACCCAAACTCTAGCCACCAGTTCCCATGCTTTGGATCCTGCATGCATGCATGTAATAATATAATAGGGGAAAATTATTTGTATGTATGTATGTGTTACATACTATTCCATCAACTTATCATCTTTATTTCTTCATAAAGAGGGTGTTTGGTAAATAGATGTTAGCTGATTTGATTAGCTGATTACATGTAAAATGGCTTTTTTAAAAAGATGCTTTGAGTAGTTTTTTTGAATCTTAGCGTTTTGGAGCAATAAATTATTACAAAAAGCTAATAATCAAAACACTCATATTGATTGTTTAACCAAATCAAACAGCCAACAGTGGTCAAATAAGCCAAAATTGACTGATAAGCTAACTATGTTACCAAACATGGCAAATATTGGCCATGTTTGGTAACATTGTTAGCTTATCAGTCAATTTTGGCTTATTTGACCACTATTAGTTGTTTGACTTGGTTAAAAAATAATATGAGTGTTTGATTAATTAGCTTTTTGTAACAACTTATTGCTCTAAAATGCTAAAATTCAAAAAGTTGCTCAAAACAGCTTTTCCGATAAGCTTTTGAGAAAGTTATTTGCATCTAATCAGCTATCAGCTAACAATTAATTTACCAAATATTTTTCTACAATCAGCTAATGTTATCAATTAGTCAAACTCACTAACTCAATTAGCTATTTACCAAACACCCACTATGTGTACTCTCATTCTCTAATCCTAACTTTTACTCACATACTTAAAATTTTAATGTAAACACTTTTAACAGGCTCACATGAAAAAAGAAAAAAAAATGTAACTTATTAGTGTCTGTTACATCTAGAAATAAAATTGAAGGAGTATAAATTAAAAGAGTACATGTAGTAGAACTCTTTTGAGGTAGTCTGGTGATGGTACAAATAATGTCAGATCAAATTTTAATCCAAAATTTTAAATTCTTGTGGCTCAAAAGAGATGTTTTTGAAATCTACAAGGATATAAAAGAAAAAGTGAGAGTTCTCTTTGCTTGGGAAAGAAGACTGAAGAGAATCTCACAAAGGTGGTAAAAAGCACAAACAAAATAATTGCTTCCCTGAAGGATCTTTATTATGAATACCACACCGCACTGCACGCCTATAAAAATAATGTCCAACAATTATTTCGATTTTCCCTTTTTCCTTTTCATTTTTTATTATTATTATAAGCTGTCTTGTATTGGTTTGCAAGGCAAGACTGTACTATATGATGTCAAACATAATAGCAATCTTGGGACAAAGCATTGATACTTGGCATGCATGGTCTTATCATCATAATTATTTCAGAATAAAATCATTAACATTATTATTACGATAAAAATAATAAGTATATTTTTGAAGAGTCAAAATTTTATTTCATGTATGGTTTGATTTTATTGAAGAAAAAAATTTGTTGCGTTTTTTTTTTTTTAATTTTTAATTTTTTTGGATCAATTAGATTGCACAACATTAATCGAGAGTAAATAAAAATATACATAGGGATGTTAGCTGATTGAGTTAGTAGGTTTAACTAATTGATAACATTAGATGATTGTAAAAATGTTTGATAAATTGACTGTTAGCTGATAGCTGATTATATGTAAAATAAGTTTCTTAAAAAGTTGATTGAAAAAGTTGCTCAAAATAACTTTTTGAATTTTAGCATTTTGGAGCAATAAGCTGTTACAAAAAGCTAATTAGTCAAACACTTATATTCAATAGTTAACAAGTCAAACAACTAAAAATAACTAAAAAACCAAAATAAACTAATAAGCTAACTATGTCACCAAATAGGGCCGTAATGTTTCTCCTAATATAGTATATTCTCCAAATTGCACATTATTGAATATTAATTGTTTAACAAATTAGAAATTAAAGTTTAAAAAATAATTTATGGAACATTAATTAATATTATACTATGTTTTCTCTATAAACAAAAATGGATATCTTTTTGAGATTTTTTTTTTAAAAAAAGGAATATATAATTTTAGAGAATTTTTAAACTGCCGTATAGTATTGAATTGTGTGTATTTTTAAATTTAAAAGTAATAAGTTTTGGATACTATTGATACAATGAACCCAATATGTGAATATTCTCCGATTTTCTTCCCTTGACTATTATTTTTTCCACATTTTACTACAAGAAAATATAAATCACATACCTACATATTTCATTGATTTATTTACAATTTTTTTTTTTGTTGGTAAATTTTTTTTTTTTTTTTTTTTTTTGGTAGTGTTTGTACTTGATTCAAAATTAAAGCCGCTAATTATTTAAAATATGTCATTTTACATTTTAATTTTCAGTATGACTAAAAGTGACAATTTTAAGATTAAAAGTAGCAGATTTTCAATAGTTGTGGACGTACTACATTTGATGAACTTTAACTTGAAAATCCAAAAATATTAAAAAAGAACTTAATTAATAGTCAAAAACACAAATGTAGAATTAAGTGTACATATAATAATTTGACATAAAATAGAGTGAGTGAATTATTAGGGTTTTGGTAGATATAGATGTGTGTACGTACCTTCCAAATTAAAATGCTGATATCATATTGACCCCCATTATAAGAGGATGTTGGAGAGATGGCTGCCCCAATCGCAATTCTATTATTGGTTTGGACAAAGCCTGAGCATAGCAAATTGTAACACCCAGTTCCTTGATATGAATCACTCTGTATATATTATACATATATATGTCAATTAAATCATTAAAATTATCAAATAAAATTTTCAAATTGGATTTATATATGATGCATGCATGCTAGATATATATATATATATATATATATATATATATATATATATATATATATATATATATATATATATATAAAATACATATACTTACTGTCCAGTATGTGAAGAATCTTGGAAAATTGTCTCCATAAAGCTCTGGGCTAACCTGCATGAAAAAATTATATGTGAAATTAACACATCTTGGAAGTGTTTGGTAAATAGCTGTTAGCTTATTGTATTAGTGGGTTTGACTAGTTAATAACATTAGTTGATTGTAGAAATATGTTTGGTAAATTGGATGTTTGATAGCTGATTACATGCAACATGATTTTCTCAAAAATTAACCGAAAAAATTACTTTGAGTGCTTTTTAAATTTTAGCTTTTTGGAACAATAAACGGTTAAAAAAAATTGATTAATCAAACACTTATATTGACTGTTTAACCAAGTTAAACAACTAATAATGCTCAAATAAGCTAAAATTAGCTGATAAACAAACTATGTTACCAAAACGTGACCATTATCCTCTAGGCAAAGTTAAATCCCTAATTTTTTAATTTTTTTTTTTTAAAGTCCATTTCATATTCTCACTTTGTGGTCAAAATTAATCTTTTTTTCCCAGTCAAAGTAACAAAAAAGATTGGTAAGGAGTAGAAAAGTAGAAACTATTATTAAAAGAAAAGGAAAGGAAAAAAAAAAAAAAAAAGAACAAACCTGCCAACCAGCTTCAATGGTGTTAAGATCATCTCCAAATGAACCAGAGATTATCCATATCTGTGATAAGCTGAACTCATACTGATTAGCCACAACAGGTGCCCATACATTTATACTTGCTTTTGCTCCATAGTATTCATCTCCACTTACATATCCAACTGCATGCTGTTCAATTCCCCATTTTTTAATAAATTAAAGAAACAAAAAACATAACAATTCCCAATTATTATACAAAAATATTATATTTTCCAAGAAATAAACACTTCATATTGAAAATTCTCAGGTGCTACTAGTCCTGGTGTAGGCTCTAACTACAGGTAGTAGGCATCTTTAAGTCCGTATCATACTTTTGACTAATTTTCGTTCGTACCCACTAGTTCAATTAATGGGCAAAGTGCTGGCCATATTATTTTTTCATACGAGATGAAATTTTGAACTTCCGACCTCTCTTAAAGGATGAAAGTGTAAGACCACTTAGACTAATCAAGCTAGTTAATGATATATGCATGTATGGATCATTTGAAGTGGTGAAGAAAGAAAGAGAAGAAATGAATTATATTCTTTCAAAATTGCTAGCTCCTTATTTATATAACAAGTCGGAAATAATAAAATTTAAGTCTTTTATGGTGTAGGCCGCTTCTACTTGGAATTAAACTTGTAACCTCCTGGTTATAAAGTCAACACCAGATTACCTTAGTTTTGCTATGCTTTGGTAAAAAAAAAAAAAAAAAAAAAAAACTTAGTTTTGCTATAATAATGAAACAAAAATTGAAGTAAATATAAGCTAACCTCATGGCCATCGTTTGAGCTGGAGTCTCTTCTTACAGGCCTTGCTAACTTTCTTCCGAATTTGGTGATAGAACTGGCTCTGAGAACATCTTGCTCCGACGTTCTTCTGATCGGAACTGTTCCTTCCGGGCATGATTCCCCAGCTAGGCTCCACAGCTGAAAGTTTTCCGGCCACGGCAAGAAAGACATTTTTTTGTGCCCTTTGGGTCGTTCCGGCGGATCCTGCGTCAAATTCATAACAAATGCTACTTCAAGAACGATTCTAAAGCAGTTGAGGATATGCAGAATCGAATGATTATTGATGGGTTTACCAATGGCTTTTGGCCCTTCAGTTGTGGATGATCAAAAGCGGGCTGTTTATGGGATAAAACGCAGTCTATAATGTCGCCGTCGGGGCTCTGAAACGGATCGGAGCAAGAGTTTTATTCTTAGAAATCAAGAAAAAGTGGAAATTAAAACAGATGGGAATTGAAATAATACCTGAATTGTCTTGATAGCAGGCTTGTTGATCTTCATGAGATGAGCCCGGACCGTTTTCATCTTCTGTAACTCGTCGCCGGGCCGGAAAGTCTGGTTGGCTTGACTGGGACGGCCGGGTTCCAGTGCTCCGGCTGGAGAAGCGGAGAAGATAATGAAGAACAGAAAGAAGACAAAACCAGAAATGATTGGGGAGATCTTTGAGGAGGACATTATTGTTGAGGAATTCTGTATTATTGTTTCTTGTTCTTGTTCTGAACTGATTTGTATCTTCTGTCTACATATGTTGTCTTGTCTTTTCCCGCAACAGTTTTCAGAAAAACACCAAATATTTTGTTCACCAAGATTTGCCAGTTCTAGGACAACCATATTCACCGTTCTCAAAACAGAATCACTTCAACCTGTACGGGCTTAACTCACTGATTCAGTAGATAGTATTTTAGTATTTGGAGCAAGAACAGAATCACTTCAATCTTGCACCATTTCCAAGATTTCTTCCAGGACTTAAAGAAGTTGGTGTAATGAAATTCCCTACTTTCTCTCTCTCTTTCTCTCAAGTTCTTCTGATAAGCCCCTTGGTTTTAGGCTATGACTAGCTATCTGCAACTCCAAAGAAGACCTAAGAGAAAACACACACATACAACAGAGATGTTGTGAAAATGTAGACTTTTATAGTGATCAGGGGATATAAATACTAGGTTATGATTCACACACGTACTGTTGAGAAAGAATCTTATTCCACACCCTAACAATTCTTGTAACGGGCTATCTCTGTGAAGTTAGTGATATGTTTAATCTCACTAATCCAGTTCAATATCTAACAATTCTTTTTGAGTTAATACCTAAAATCGTCCTCGACTATAGTGATTTTTCTCAATTTCGTCCTAAACGACTTTGGTGACCTAATATCGTCCCAGACTTTTGTATTTCGCTCAATTTAGTCCTCCATTTGTTATTCCGTCAAATTGGTGTTAAATTAAGGGACAATTCAGTAATGTCAATATTGATCTCTCTTTACTTTCAACTTGTGAAGTGCGAAATTTCTCTTTCTTGTACGAATTACACCCAGAATTACTCCCGGACCTGCAAATCAAATTTTATATTCGCAGTTTTAGGAGTAACTCTGGGAGTAATTCGTAAAAAAAAAAAAAAAGGGGGATTTCGCAGTTCACATGTCTATGAGTAAAGAAATGCCAATATTAAAATTACTGAATTGTCTATTTATTTAACACCAAATGGACAGAATAACAAATGAGGGATTAAGAGCAAAAACACAAAAGTCTGGGACTAAATTGAGCGAAACACAAAAGTCTGGGACGATATTAAGTCACCAAAGTCGTTTAGGACGAAATTGAGAAAAACCACTATAGTCGATGATGATTTTGGGTATTAACTCAATTCTTTTTATCGAGATAACTCTCTTTGAAACTAGTCATTTGTTGTCTTCTCTCAAAAACTGTCTACTAAACTACTGAGCTAAACCTGTGCGGACTAGTCATATGTTGTCTAATATGACTAATTCTCTTAACTTATCAATTTCTTTAATTTGAAACTAGAGAATGTTAACAATCTTCTCAATGGATTATATGTCTAAGTAATATGTGACTTCTTGTGCTCTAATTTAATGTTAAAATAGATATAATTGGTCATAAATTTACACTACATTTCTGTTTAATGAGAAAACATTTGAGTTTGTTAGCCTAATGTCAAGGTTTGTTTAATTTAATCCTTTAGCTTTTGGGTAGGGAAAGGAGGATGGGATGTTTCCAGCCACCAATACAGAGACTGAACCTTTAGCTTTTGTGTGCCAAATTTTGGAGGGCATATATAAATGGGACTTCCTGCATAATTATGGAGACAGAAGGGAATTATATTTGGCTCCGAGCTGAGGCTTGATTGCTTTGGGTGTTTGTCTTTCACATTTCCCTATGTGTTCTTTGTGTCAGTGACCTGCCCTGCCCTACCCTGCTTGTTGCCTTTATTTGGAAAATGCTGCACACCCTCTCTTTTACATTCACTCCTAATGGAGTGCCACTACCCATATCTTGGTCGGAATAACTTTGTTCCGAAAAGATTGAATCCCCAGTCCCAAGACCTCACACTTTGAACCGACAGACCATCTGATCCCACACTACCGTTGCACACAATTACATAAAGAGTCCCTTCACTTTTAGAAGGTTATTCGGTTCTAAACTTCACTCTTGTAACCAGTTGACTTGCTCATGCAAACATGATATGAATTACTAAATTACTGTACTTAATTTATCTTGTCCACAAAAGACGAAATTCTTTTGACTCTCGAGTCTCTATACTTCAGCCTGACATAATAAAAGAAAAAAGTAATTCAGATTGACTCAACAGCTCATTAGATGGAAAGATCAGTATTGGTGCCCACAAAAACCCCCCTACTTTTCTTAGCTTATCTGATATAATGTGTTGTAATTGATTAATTATTAAATTGTAACCAATCAAAAAATATATATACCTATTCTAATGGAATAAGATTGTTAATGTCATTAATATCATCCTACATTCCTACCACATTGAAAATGGATGCAAAATTAAATATATGAAGCATCTGTTTTTGTTCAACATGAAAAAAGATTTAATTTTTTATTGTTGAAAAAAAAGGGATCTACAATCAACATCCACTATATTTTGACCACTCTTAACAAATTGCTAAACATAGAGGTGCCCGAATGAATAAGGGTCAAGTTGGGAAACAATGACTCGGAATCGAGTCTCACCAGCAACAGCGTGGGAGCAACCTCTCAAAGTGAGGTCGAGGAACTCCTTCTGCACAGTAAGAAAAGATCTATTCTCTGTGTTTAGTTGAGTTACTATAGTTTACATCCTTCCAGATGCTTTGTTGGGCCGAGGCTTAGGGATTCAACTTTTCTGGAAACAATGCTAAACATAGAGGTGTTTTTTTTTTTTTTTTTTTTGGGTGAAATAAACATAGAGGTGTTTGATTTGCCACTTGAGAAGGGAATTAGAATAAAAAATTATTAAAATGTTGGCTTACTCATTTTTAATATTTTAAATGCCGTTTGTAGAGTAGAAATGAAGGGAACGGGAGACTTTTAATTAAATAAGGGTAGTTAGTGTTATTTATATTAATTATAATAAGAATAAAAGTGAAAAAGAAACTAAAATTTATGATCTAATTTCTTGTCGCTATAAAATATAATAAATTAAAATAAATTACATTAAGAACTCATTTTAAACTAGTAGTTTTTTAATTACTAAACAGAACTTATAACTTGTTTCTACTTTAAAATAAAATTTGATAAATATACTCCATTAAAAGGCACAATGTATTTAAGCTAATGCAGTAGTGGATATGATTCTTTAATTTTATTAGTGTTTTTAAAGTAAATTTATACCTTTTAATTTCGAGTGACAAATTGACACAAACAATTGAATGGACATTGGGTAGACATATATAGTGCAGTAGTACATGCAGGGAGGGATGGTAGGGTGGATGCATGTGATAAAAGATGAATGTAAAATTTAGAAGACAAAAACTAACTTTTGGAGTGGGCAGGAAATGATATTGTTATTCACCTAAAAACATGCTAAGTCCTTTTCATGTCATACCAACCACATCACTAGTTACTATTTTCTTCTTTTCAATAACTATTTTCAACTTCTCAAAATTGGATAACGAAAGTTAAGGCTGCATCAACCTAGCTTCGAATTAGGAAATTAAATTTCAATAATATAAGATAAAAATAAAATTTGGAATTATATTCTATGTAGATTTTGATTTATAGGAAAGTGTGCATCCGTTGTCTGAAAATGTGCTCTGATATTGGCTCAAATGACTAATAAAATTCATAGATAGACAACTCACACGGAGAGTCAAACTTGAAGTTTTGTGATTACCAAGTCAATTGTTTGACCAATGAATGATTTCAATTCGCTTATATGGGCCAGGTGTTTAGTCATTGTTTCTCTTTAATGTCTAGTTTTGATAGGGAATATCCCCGGTTATACTTATGGTGTATACTTGGTCGGTATCGGGTCCACCCATTGGGCAGAGCCGAATTCGACCGTCGCCGAGGTTATTGCGCTCTTGCTCGACCTAAATCTTAGACTAAGGGCAACATCACTCGTTAGGCGGAGATCAGTATCAATTGCTTTGCCTTGACCACATTAGGTCGGGACCGAGCACCCGACTTGCGGTCCTTAGAACCTTAAGCCTAGGTCTCTTAGCCGAATTCATTGGCAGTGAACCCCGTGGACTCAGGAATCTATGGACACGTGGCCGAACCAGTAAGGGCCCCAACCTTACCCAGTGCATGTCATTCACGTGCCACGCATGCTGGAAGACCGGTGGATGTCCCCTTAGACCTTTACTTTAAGCTCGGTAACCTCTGACCCTTTGTTACATAACCCGAGCTTAAGGATTTAAACCAACAAACAGACTAACGCAGGATCCCCTTACGGTCCGATCTTCGTACCTTACGGATCTGTAGGAATTACAGTATTTACTACATCAAGTTTCAATAAAGTTATTTGTCATCACATTAACATATTAATAAACATTATTGCTCATGCCTTGGTTAAAGCAATGGGCTCTCATACTAGTCCGTTAGTTTGGGATGAAATTCCCCTAGCAAAATCCCCGGTTTCAGTATGTTTTCTTAATATAATGGATGCGTGGTTAGCTTTCAAAAAAATAAAAATAAAAATCCTAGTGTGCAAATAGCCTTAAGTGGTAAGATTTGATTGGAAAACATGTTAGATGATTTCATCATATTATTAAACTTTATCACTTAATATGCACATAATGTGAGATTTGTACTCAAATTGAATGAATATAACATCAAAGTATTGACTGCAGTGCCCCAGCAAACAATCCTATGTTTTAACGATTCTGCAGTTTGACTTAATGATGTTTATAAACCTCCACATGAAAGTAATCAAAGTAGATGATGATATTTAAATTAAAAAAAAAAAATGTCTTAAAAGTTGATGGGAAGGCTGCCAAAGCTGGAGTGGGGTTTTCATGAGAGGGGACACTATTCTAATTTTTTAAAAAACAAAGGGCCACATTGTAATAATAAGACCATATGGTTTAATGTAAAATGAAGATTACAGACAACATACTTTAGGAAAACAATGTCATCCTATGCCATCCAAGCAAGTCTTGTCACCCTGTTGTTTTATGCCTCAACAGAATCATTGCTAGTGTACTGTATATATGTTTATATGGGAAGGAACTCTTGCATGGAGGTAGACTAACAGGGCGTTTGGTTGGAGGGGGGAATTATGGGGAAAGGAATTGTAATTCCATGGGAGTTGAATTACTGGGAATAAAGTAAGAATTTAAATTTCAGTGTTTGGTTGACAGGAATATAATTACTGGGAATTTCAATTCCAATGTTTGGTATACATGGGAATTGAAAGGGAATAAGTAGTATAAAGTCAAAAATGTCCATTATTGTTGTTAGACATTAATTTTAAGTTAAAAAAGGAAGGAGTAATGTTGACTCATCACTATTTTTTTTCCAGGAATTAAAATACCAGGGGGGACATGGGATTTTAATTCCATGAAAATGGGGGAATTGCAATTCCATGGAATTGCAATTCCCTCCAACCAAACTACGGAATTTAATGGCCTTTGGAATTAGGTGGGAATTAAGTGGGAATGG